CTGGAGTTCAGACGTGTGCTCTTCCGATCTTAAGTAATTGTTATGTATTATATACGTAACAAAGAAATATATCTTTGTTCTTCTAAAGTGCCCTCAAAATTATATTGCATTTACATATCATCTCTATAACTATGAAATATATCATTGTTCTTTCCATGTGCTCCCTTAGTTATATATATAGACACAGTTTATAATGGCGATTTCGTTTTATTGTAAATATAGCATACAAGATTTTATAATGTCTCACTCGCGATATCGTTTTCAACGTTTTTCCCGTTTCGTCTCGTCGGCCAACTGCCTCGTCGTTTTCGCTCGCAAAATCTAGCTAGCTAGCGCGATTTGTCGCGCTTGCGCGTCGGAGAGTGGGGCGCAAGGCCTGTTTTCGCAAATTAACTTAACGCCCTTGAGCGAGTCAAAGTCCACATTCCTACACTCGGCCATTCTGACCTGACATTCGCCCTCGAATGTTCTATATAAATTAAACATAAACATTTACAAAATACGTACGATACAAAAGAATTTACAGGATTGCACGTAGGCACACTATGCTAACTTATTAGAATCGCCGGATTCCTCGTCATCATCGCCATCATAGTCACTATCGCAGTTAAGCCAGGGTTTCAAACAGTCCGCAGCCGTTGATGTCTGAGCCGGTCCTTCATGCTCTCCTATTTTGTATACCATATAACGATCGTTACGAAGAACACGAGTTATTTCATACGGCCCGAGATAATGTGGAGCAAACTTGAGACCAGGTCCTCATTATGTTCGCTTGATAGCTACCAAGTCTCCTTCTCGGTATCTGTTAGCTTTTTTCTCTTACGATTGTATCCAGCTTTATTTTCCTCTTGAATTTTTTGGATCTGCTCATGTGCTTGTCTTCGTAGTTCGCTTCTCCCTTCGTCAAAACTGTCAGCAATCTCTCTCGACAGCAGCTCTGCCAATTCTGGATCGTCCCTCAGCCGCGGGCAAACCCCAAAAAGCAACCGAAACGGCGTAGTGCCCGTCGCGCGACTCCATATTGTGTTGACGCATTGCTGCGCCCGGTCCAAATGTTTAAACCACTCCTGTGATTTAGGAGCAGCTAGCTTGGTCAATAATGGAATAAGACACCCAATTTAAGTCCTCTTCGACCTGGCCATTGGCTCTCGGAATCCCC